ATTATTATTTAACTAATATGGATATTGATGTTGCCAAAAGTTGCTTTTGACTCGTGGTATTTATTACTAAACAATATATTAAATGCAGCTATTAATTACCATTAACATTAACTACTAATAAATTTATTAGTGCAATTTTCGATACATTTTAGTAACTTTGCACTTTGACGACGTTTTTCGTTGGTTACGTATATTTATCTTGTGCGAGACTATATACATACGAATACTAGATGCTAGAATAACTATATATTTTTATAATTAGATGAACTGTACATGTTGGCAAGCGTCAATAAACAGGAAAGACATAGCTGGGAATAATTTTGCTTTTTGTTCTTTCTTCCTTGCTTCTTGAATGAAATTTTATTTCTATTGCAAACATTTTTCTAGTATCTTTATCGTTTGACAAATATTATTGCGAATAATATATGCTTTTATTCAAATAATTAGATTTATTATTGTAGAGAGGCATTGAGATCAAATAAAATATGCTTTGTCGGTAATTTTAATATTTCAAAATAATATTTAGAAGTGTATTAAAATGAAACAAATTCTGCAAAGAAAGAACATTTACAGCAAATGTAAACCTGCATGAATGATTGCGTGGGAGAATGTATTTTGTTTGTAAACGCTTATTTAATTTTAATTACTTTTTTTGATGTTAATTAAATAATTTGAAGTTTTACAAATACTTTTTAGTAAAATGAAAAATCTGTAAGATATGTTTTATATGACAATAAAACATTATATGATTAAATAAATTTTATTCAAAACCATTTATGATCGAAGTTATTAATAATTCTTTCTGTGAAATATTGTAAATTTTTCACTTCGATTTCATAATAATATTTCAGATATACGGGTTTATATAAAATATAGAATAATTCAAAATCAAATTTATATTTATTGTTATTTGTATTAAACAATAATTGAGTTTATAGAAGTATTGTATTTGTACATTGAACATTTTAGTAGGTTGCATATAAAACTAAAGTGTTATCTATCGTAAATGTTGATACATTAAAAATTTAAATTCAACGCGAACGTGAAATGTAAATATCGATTTTTTAAATAAACGTTGTTTCGAATAATTAAGAATTATATGTCATTATCGGGAAATACGTAAAAATTTAGCAGGATTGTTTAGGTAGCCGAGATCAGTGTAAAATATAAAAAAGATAATATTAAGAAATGAAGAAAACTAAATTATCACCTTCAACATGTGCATGGCACATGCTTTTTATAAAATTTATCATGTGAATGTTTATCATACGAAATGTAGCAATAATAGAAACGTTCGAGTACTAAGACATTGTGAGAATAACAAAATAGACAAAAGGATAGCTAATTTTAAGGAAGTATCTTTCACGATAACATGGGATAACATTTTATGTTATATGTCTTTTCTTAAAGTTCTATGAAAATGTTTAGGATATATTGATCATATTATATATACATATATACAGGGTGGTCCACGCAACTTGTTCACCCTGAACAACTTGTGAAGTATCCATTGTATGAAACAATGTTTTATAGAAATGTTATATGGTTTGGGGGGATACATTATGTAATGCATACATCTTTTTTTTAGGCGGAGGCGTTTCGGAGATTTCAGGGTCAACTTCGTTTTTTTAAATAGAATGCTATATTTTTTATACCAAAATATCGAAGAACGTTAAATTTTGAGTGAAAAAGTACTGACCTTTATTAGCCGTAAACTTAATAATTAACGAATAATTTCACTTTGTTTCTTGAAAATAGTCTGTGCGTAAATCAAGTTGGAGATTCAATACCAGCAAAGATTTCCGTAAGACTTCTTCCATTCAATAACGTAGGTGTTTGAAATGGTGTCCATTCACATTAATATACTGATGTAATCTATTAATCAACGAGGAAACTGCACTCTGAATTGTTTCTGTAGCAAGCATACTACATGCTTCACGAATTCGTTCTTTCATATTCTCGGGTGTTGTTGGTGGTTCACGATACACCATATCTTTTAATGTACTCCATAGAAAGTAGTCTAGCGGCGTTAGATCTGGTGAACGTGATAGCCACAGAAATTTTCCACAAGAAACAAAGTGAAATTATTCGTTAATTATTAAGTTTACGGCTAATAAAGGTCAGTACTTTTTTACTCAAAATTTAACGCTCTTCGATATTTTGGCATAAAAAAAATACAGCATTTCATTTAAAAAAATGAAGTTGACCTTGAAATCTCCGAAACGCCTCCACCTAAAAAAAAGATATGCATTACATAATGTATCCCTCCAAACCATACAACATTTCTATAAAACATTTTTTCATACAATGGATACTTCACAAGTTATTCAGGGTGAATAAGTTGCGTGGACAACCCTGTATGTTCAATTAATTATCAATATAAGACATAACAAGATTTCCATATTTGTATTAAAATAGAAAAAAGTTTGAACGCATTCATTGATGACTTAGTTTTTATGAAATTTACAATTGTTTACTTGTAAATGAACGAAAATTTTGTGTCACAAATTTAGTTTTATTAATTACAAATTCAACTCCAAAATGTGCTATCAAGATATGTTAAAATATGTTTCACTAATTTTCCTATCTGATTTCTTTCATTCGCCTTATTAACTAGTCGAAGTCATTTTCCTTCTTCTGACAAAATTATGTGAGTTTTCCATATTCTTAGAATCTCTATCAAGCGATAACGTGCTTCTTTATATATTAGCGATTAATCTTGTATGCCATTTAAAGGTCTCGATTAGTTTACATATCTATCTTTATTTTTTTAAGCTAAGTATTATAACTCTATCGTTTCTGAGTTGACGATAGTTGAAGCGTTAACCTATATACAAATTGATAGAACTCACGTGTTCGCTTTTCTAGCGTTATTTCACACATATGGTAAAAATTGTTGGTACCTAATAATACCATGCTTTAACTTTTCGCGTTATTATTCTTATTACCAAGTTTTATAGAAAAACTTCAATGAATATTACCGCGACAATTTGTTTTGTAAAATAATCCTAAAATGAAAATTAAAATCAAAACTTAGTTGTAATTTAAACAAAAAATTGAGTATATAGTTTTGTAGAATATTAGAATAAGAAAGTTATAAGATTCAATAGTTTGAAAAAACGTTATATTATAATTTTATTACACAGGAATTATTAAATTAAAGTGCATGTTTTTGTAGAGTATTTAATGCGAATGTTAATAAAAATAGTAGTTTATTAACAATAAGCAATATTTAGAATTTATTTGTGTGACGGGATTAAAGTAAAATCTAAAAGAAATCTATACATGAACTAAAATTGATTAAAGTGAAATATTTTTGTTGCAGATGGAAATGGCAATCTTTACTGAAAATCGTTCGTTGTGAAATTATCAGTATTTGTCATACCGAGCATGTGGATGCTTATGTCCTCAGGTAAAAAAAATTACATTTTATTACAATAAACATGTAAAATTTTTTACATACTGTTAATTTATGAATTCAGTACGTACAATAAATTTCTCTTATTCTACATTGATCATTACTGATTGATCATAGGTGGATGAATTATCCATAAATTGATGAATCACTAATAAAGTTATTAACCTTCTTACTGCCAGGCCCATCTACGCAGTATATGCGAAGACTGCCAGGGCCGATTTGATATGCACGCTTCTATAAATTGCTTTATAAAGAAAAAAATGTCAATTTCCTGGAGGAAAGTTTTTGTGTACATTCTCTTCAAACTTAGAAGATATGGAATACAATTGTAGTGTAATAAAATATTTAATAATAAATAATGTAAACGTTTATATTTAGATTATATAAAAGTATTTTCTATAGTAATATCTCTTACCTGAGTTACCGATATTGTTTTTCGAACTAAAAGCAAATTTTTAACCTGAATAAACGAAATAATTTAATTGAATTTTTTATCTGACCGATAATCTGAATGTAAACGCACGGAACCGATGCTTCGGCCCCTAGCAGTTCTCGCATAGGTACCAAGGGCCGATTGATCGGCCCGCTGGCAGCCAAAGGGTTAAATTGCAATTAACTAATAAATGTATAGTACATGTTTCGTTAACTTTATCGTGGTAATTTTCTATAAATGTCAATAAATATTGGAAAGATTTCCTCTTTTTTCAATTTTATCATATTCAAAGCTTTTTAATATCAGTAAAGCTATATAATAAACTTATGAATATTTGCATAAAGAACAGCATTAAAGAAACAAAATACTTTTTTTTTAAAACGCATTTTATTAAGGTTATATTAAGATATAGCAAAATATAATTGAATAACTAGAAGAGGAGAGAGAGCGATATAATACACAGAAACAGAACAAAGGAAAGCCGGATATCATCACGTGTATTTTATAAGCCACTTCGTAGATCGTTGGCGTTTGTAAACTTTTATTGGGAAAACTTACTTGAACCGAGATAAAACTTGTTTGAATTGAGAGAAATTATAAACAACTTTTCTAAACCATGAAGTTAGGTAAAATAAATGTATAAAGTTTATCAATACCTTTCTAAAGTTTTAAACTTTGTATAATAATACGTGCACAATATTTTTTAGTAAATAATTTGAATCGCGTGGTGTTTTGTGATACAAATACTTACATTTTGAAGTTGTTAAATTTCGGAAGTAGTCATTTAATTTTTTTATACATATATTTGTTAATTTTTGTTTGCTTTCTATTTCGCTAGTTTGATGATTACAGACAATGCATTGGGTTGAACGTTTAAACAAATTTCCGATTTTAATATTGTTTGTTGAAGGCATAATTACTTAATCATTTTTGTATGTTTGCCTAAACTGTATTCGTGTTATCGAGTATCATATTAATTCGTAGAATGTATGTAACAATAAATTCGGATTTATCAATGACATAAACAGATTCTGTTTATTAATGAGTCATTAGAAAAGCTTAAATAGTGCTATTTGCTTATGAAATTAAATCCGATTGGATGCTAACCAAAATACACGTAGCGATATTTATGAAACAAATATTCCAAGAACGTTTCTTCTTATCAACGTTCAAATATTTATGTTTTATTTTAATGTTATTCATATTTCTGTTGAATATAGTCTTTAATTACAGAATTTTGTTACAGTTATTTATAGCATATTCTTTACATGGTTAAAATACCTGTAATTCATAAAACTATTTCTTATAAATTAAATGTGAAGTATCACAATTAAATAACTAAGAAAATATTATTTAATCCAAGACATTTTTGTTTTTGTTAACATTTTAGATTCAATAACATTTAAGGATCTAAGAAATAATAAATGTATTAAATTTAACATTAAATAAAAGTGTAAATGAAATATCTAGTATTAAATTATAAGGTTCTTAATATATTAACTTCCGTGTTTGTTAAACAATAAATTATTTGCAAACTAGAAATAGAATGAAAATACTATTTCACAATTAGACTCTTTAGTAACATTTGGCACAGTTAATAACACTATGTATTGTTTGAAAAGTGAAATTCAGATTTCAGTTAAGTTCATTTAGGTAAATTTAAATTCTTAAACCAGGATTTAAAAATTTCTGATATTTTAAAGACAGACTTTTTTCTTAATTGAAATATGATTTGTAACAAGCAGGTTTATGTTGTTTGACTGTAATAATGTAGCTGCAACATTATAATTTGTATATAAATATAGTTTACTACTTATTCTATATAGATTTGTAGACTTTTGTGCTTAAGTATTATCTTATCTGCAACGTAATATTATAAAATTTGCTTTATAATGTAATCCATTATTTATGTAAAAATGAAAAATATTTTAGTAACTCATATACTAACTTATCATTGCTATGTTAATAAGGATTCTCTAGGAATTTCATACATCACTCTAAACTGCCTGAATAAATAAGGAACAGTTATTTATATTTAGTATATAATTTTTAATTATAACTTCATTTTATATTAGGTTTAAAACTGATATAATGTTAAAAACCATACTTCAAAAATAGATATAATTTTAAATATCAGATTAAATGTATTTTCTTTAATATTATTTTCTAGCCTACTAAAACACTATTTTTTATTTTTCATTATTGCATCTTTCAGTATGCATTCAACAAGCTAAGTAAACAAGTATTTATTTGTGATCAATTTGTTTTTTTAGGTATATGATCGCTATATTCTCACAATACAATATCTTGTCAATAGTTAATCAGAAGTTATGTCATTTAACTTATTAGATTAGTCCTAAAAGCACACTATAAAATCAATATAATACAATTTAAGGATTTTACTTAAAACAAAAAAGATTACCTTTGAAAGCGCTACCACAGATCGAATCAAAAAAAAAAAAATTTCCGGTTATTAATAAATA